TAATGATAGTGTAATTTAGGCTTATGACCAGAACATCAACGTCACTCCTATCAGGGGTGTCTCTGTACGTTCTGCTTAAATATTATTTTGGTTTACTCTTATGGTCAAGGTTTTATTGGCATTCAACAGATGCACAAGCGTCAGATAGTTAGCAGATTTATCAAGAAGAATCAGCCAACTATCTTACTTTGGAAAAGTGTCAGGCCACACTCTGTGTGTGAATAGGTCAGCGTAGCCTAGCAGTCTCCAGCTGTCATGTTCTGGTTTAGTTTCCTGACCCAGGACATTCAGAATAATACTCTGAGATTGGATAAAAGGGTAAAACAATATTTATTAGAAAGGGTAACTGAAGGAGCGCCGTCAACGTGAAGAGAGGGTCCGAGTGAGGTTGAAGGTGTAGAGGTGAGTAGGAAGTGACTGGAAGACGAGGAAGTGGTCAGGCCTGAGGTGAGGGTCGAGCTTGAGAGGAGAATCCAGATGAGCGAAGGTGAGTGCAGGGTGAGTAGCTGAGAGCGGGTCAGTCAGGTTGAACGGGGAGACGTGGTCCAGTGAGATAATCCGTGGTTATGGCTGACGAGGTGGTGATGGCGAGGATACTTGAAGACAGGGAACAGGAATTACAAATATGCTAAAGCTCAAGACAAGTGCAAGGTTTCTAAATTCGAGAGTTGGCTTTGTGATCGCAGGTTGGAGTGTACCAAAGTGAGCAATCATCTGGCGAGGTGATGTCATCTCCCTGCTCCTTTTATAAACCAACTGGTAGATGACAGATTGGCTGCAGCTGCCCGCTCCTCAGTGCCACTCACCTGCAATTAAGCACTCAGAGGTCATGAATGAACCACTCACCTCAGACCATGACACCAGCAGTCTCCTTTGTATGGGTTATGATAAGGAAACAGTGGAATTTTGGCATGTGGCACTGAGAAATGGCCGAATTAAGATAAGATAAGAACAACTTTATTTATCCCGAAGGAAATTCTTGTGTCATGTACATGCTCAAAGCAGTTGGAGAGACAAAGGAACAGGTGAAACAGATATAAGATATACAATATATACAGTAAAAAAAAGTGTACAGTAGTATACAATAGGATAGTGCAAGAGAAATACTCAGATAGCTCAATAAAATACATGACTGTATCCTGGTGAATAAGTAATTAGGCTATCAGTGCAGGCGATTTTGGAAAATGATCAGAGTATTGTGCAATAGAATTAAGGGTACTAGTAGCAGCATATGATATGATGAAGGGATGCAAACATATTTACAATCAGAACTCTTGGGTAATATTGCACGGTCTGGGATGGAACAGAATAGCCTAGGTAACAGTATTAGGAGAATCACCTACAGGGTGAGGAAGAGTTAAACTATCCTATTGCCATCGGTACAAAGGATTTCCTGTGGCGGTCAGTTCTGCATTTAGGGGCAATGAGTCTTTTGCTGCGTGCTTCGATGGTCCATCATGTGGGCGTGCATGGGGTGGGAGGGGTTGTCCAAGATAGAGAGAAGCTTTTTTAGCATTCTCCTCTCAGACACCTCCTCCAGGTTCTCAAGTCTGACACCCAGGACAGAACCAGCCTTCCTAATCAGCTTGTTCAGCCGGTTGGCATCAGCTATCTTCACCCCACTGCCCCAGCACACAGCTGCAAAGAACACAACGCTCTCCAACACCGAGTGATAGAACATGGTCAGCATTTTCCTCCCAACAATGAAGGACCTGAGCCGCCTCAGTAGGAAAAGCCGACTCTGCCCTTTTTTGAAGATAGCATTGGTGTTCTTGGTCCAGTCCAGTTTACAGTCCAAGTGAACCCCCAGGTACCGGTAGTCCTCAACGATCTCAACGTCAGCCCCTCTGATGGTGACAGGAGTAGGGGGTGGGGCCTGCTTCCTAAAGTCCATAATCAGTTCCTTAGTCTTTGTGATGTTAAGTTGTAGGTGGTTTTGCTCACACCACTCAACAAAGCTGTCCACCACACTCCTGTCCTCCACCTCCTGACCATCCCCGATTCAGCCCACGATGGCAGAGTCATCAGAGAATTTCTGCAGATGGCAAGACTGAGATTTGTACCTGAAGTCAGATGTGTAAAGGGTGAAGAGGAAGGGTGATAGGACTGTCCCCTGCGGCGCCCCCGTGCTGCTCAGGATGTTATCTGAGCGGCAGCTCGTCAGTCGGACATGCTGTGGTCTACTTGTTAAATAGTCCATAATCCAACCTACAAGTGGGGCGTCCACCTGCATTTCCGTGAGCTTATTCCCCAGCAGTGATGGTCTGATCGTGTTAAAGGCACTAGAGAAGTCGAAGAACATGACCCTCACAGTGCTCCCAGCAATGTCCAGATGAGAATATGCCCGGTCCTGCAGGTAGATGAGGGCATCCTCCACACCGATACGAGGTTGATAAGCAAACTGCAGGGGATCCAACCAAGGCTCCACAAGCAGCCGCAGATGTTTTAGGACGAGTCTCTCCAGCGTCTTCATGACATGTGAGGTCAGAGCCACTGGCCTGTAGTCACTGGGGGTCGACGGGTTGATCTTTTTAGGGACAGGAACCAGGCAGGATGTCTTCCAGAGTGATGGAACTCTGCATCTCCAGGCTCATGTTGAAGATCCGTTGTCAAACTCCAGACAGCTGGGAAGCACAACACCTAAGGGCCCTGGGACTGACACCATCAGGACCAGCAGCTTTGCCGGAGTGGAGTCTGCCCAATTCTTTTTTTTATGTCATCTGCTGAGAGGGACAGGGTGAGACAATCTGAGGGGGCAGGAGAGGGGGGGGGGGGTGAAAGGAGATGATGGGAAGAGCTGGCTGTGGAGACAGGAGACACTGGGCAGTCGAACCTATTGAAGTGTAGATTTAGGTTGTTAGCACTTCGACATCCCCATCCATCCCAACACCTCTCTTTTGTCTCAGGCCAGTGATAGCCCGCATTCCATTCCACACCTCCCTGGTGTTGTTTTCCTGCAGTTTGTTTTCCAGCCTCCGTCTGTAGGACTCTTTACCCTCAGCAATCTTGGCTTTCAGCTCCCTCTGCACCAGTTTCAGCTGATCTCTGTCACCATTTCTGAAAGCTCTTTTTTTTCTTGTTCAGGGTTGCTTTTATGTCTTTGGAAACCCGGGGCTTATTGTTGGGGAAGCACAGTATGGTTTTTTGGGGGACTACCATGTCAACACAGAAGTTGATATAGTCTGTAACACAGCCTGTCAGATTGTCAATATTGTCCTGATTGGAATCACAAAGAGCATCCCAGTCCGTTGACTCAAAGCATCCCTGCAGAGTCTCTTCCAACTCCCTTGTCCATGCTGTGACTGTTTTTGTGGCTGCAGGTTGTCTCTGGATGGCAGGTCTGTAAAGCTTGGTTTATGCTGGATGCATTCACTTTCCGCGCGGTGATGCGGCTCGCGGATGGAACGCGCTTCACAACTCGCAGCTCTTATGGTTCGTGCGGCTCATCTCTGCGGTGAGCCAATATTCTCCCAAACTGAACGGGGCAGCATGGAGCTCTACAGCATGCATCCAACACTACACCATAGTAGAAGTAAAAATTACTGTTTACAACATGGCATTTTTAACAGCGTTCTCGTCTTTTCCGACAGTGCGAGCTATTTCTCTCCAAGAATTATTTACAACATTGATCATGGTGATCTCTGAGAGCTGAATCATACAAATGTCTGTATTTACGAACCTCTGCCATACTAGTTCTTGCCGGTCCGCCATGTTTTTCCGCGTCCATCCGTCCGCGTGGTTAGAAATTTTCCGAGGTGCGCGTTGCGGAAATTCTGGGCCGTGCGGAGGCGCGGTGGAGGGGCGTGGTTGTTAAAATGATGCAAAATGACGCAACTTTTCCGCGCGGAGCCGTGCGGACCTCGCGGACGCGTCAAGCATAAACCAACCTTAAAGGGGCTGGAGGGAGACCAGGTTGTGATCAGCCCTGCCCAGGGGAGGGAGAGGGCTGGAGGTGTATGCCTCAGCAGCATTGGCATAAAACAGGTCCAGTGTTTTATTGTTCCTTGTTTTGCAGTCCACATACTGCTTGAATGTAGGTAGAACAGTGGAGAGGTTCGTGTGGTTAAAATCGCCCGTTATAGCCACAAACGCAGAGGGACTACGATTTAGTACATCCGCTGTCGCAGAGCTGATGACGTCATACGCCTGCGCAGCGTTGGCATCAGGAGCGATGTAAACAATGATGATAATGGCGAGGGAAAACTCATGCGTTAAATAATTTGGTCGGAGACCGACCGCCAACAGTTCTATGTGTTTGTTACACACACCCATCCTCACCTTAACGTGACTGGGGGAACACCAGCGGTTGTTAACATAAAGAGCGAGTCCACCTCCCCTCTTTTTCTCACTACAACCCGAGTCCCTGTCCGCTCTCACACACGTAAATCCGTTTATATCCACCACCTGGTCCGGGATGTTTTTGTGCAGCCATGTCTCCGTGTAACACATAACACTGCATTCTCGGAAAACTTTCTCTGTCCTTGTTAGCGTCGCGATCTCCTCCATCTTATTAACCAGCGATCTGACATTGCCAGTAACCACAGACGGGAGAGCAGGACGGAATCTTTTTCTTCTCAGTCTTCGCGTTTTCCCCGCTCTGCAGCCACGGTAGTTCCTCTTGATCACCGCGGGGATCTCAAGCTGAACACCGGCATGGCTGTGCTGTCTTAGCCCCAGCAGCTGGTCCTGGCTATAGGCAAAGGGGCAGCATGGCCTTGCGGTCATGTCAGTTGTTTTGCACCGAGTTTCGCATCCGAACACAGGGGGAAAAAAAACTTCTCGACTGCACAAGAATAGACTAAAAAACTAAGTAGATACAATTATATAAAATTATATATATATATATATATATATATATATATATATATATATATATATATATATATAATTTTATAATTTCTCCCACTATTGTTTATTCTGTATATATCTGAGAACTCTACCAATTTTCGTCGTGCAAATTATGTAACCAGGTTGTAAAGACAAATTTTAAATAAAGCTTTGAAAAAAATACAGCAACTTCCGGGGGAAGAACGTTAGCGAAGCTAGCTTGTTGTTTTGATGTTGGACATGAAGGTGAATGAGTTTCTGCCGTAAACATGTCTTCAGTTCCGCTTCTGAGGGAGTTCATCAGAGAGCGGTTATCTGCTGCTGCTGAAGAAATATTCACAGAGTTTGAAAAAGCCATCGTCCGCTACGAAGAAGAGATCGATCGTCAGCACAGACTGCTGGAGGTCTGCTGGAAACAACAGATCAACTTACGCAGAACAGGTTCTGGCATAGTTCCAACATTTATATTTGTCGCATTTGGAGGAATAGAATTATTAAAATGTGATTTTGAAACCCCCACACTACCAATTAAACTCCTAATTCTACGAATAAGTTATTTTGTTTGGTAAAATGGGGTTCAAATACAATTTTAACCCCCGTGATGTTGATATTAAATAATAAAACTATATTCTTTTAGAGATGGATGGAAAAATGAATTTGGATGGTGATACTTAAGAATTAAAATCTTACTGAATCTGTCCAGATCTGCATCAGGTCAGACAGACAACCCCTCTGCCTGTTTTCCTTTCTGAACGTAGAACTGTGTGCTCATTTTCAGCTTAAGGTTTGCTTGAACATCTTTAGATGCATCAGATGAGTGAATGGTTCTCTCTTATTGTCACATCAATCAGGATTTTGTTTGTCCAGATCTCCCGCTGCATTATGTCAGGAAAGATGAGGAGGTTCTGACTGACCAGCAGCTCTGGAACCAGGAGAGGACCTCCAGTTTGGACCAGGAGGAACCAGAACCCTTACCGATTCTAGAACATGAGGAACTCTGCATCAGACAGGATAAAGAGCAGCTGGTTACCTCCGATGTGACTCCTACTGATGAGGAAAGAGACCAGGATGAACCTAAACCAAACACCCACCAGCGCCTTTTATCAATGCTTCCCGAGTCTGGGATCCAGAACCAGGACAGAACTCACCACCTCAGTGAGTCAGAGTAAAGGGGACGAACTGGATTTGTGTTCAAAACCTTAAACATGTTGTGAACGTGTTCCTCTCAGTGTCAATTACTGTAGACGTATCAGATGATTAGAATAAAATAACCTTTGTCGCATTAATCCAAATGTTCTTTTGTCTATTAGCCCTTCCAGAACTCCGACAGCATCCTCTCTGGAAAAAGGAGATTCTGACTGACCAGCAGCTCTGTAGCCACGAGACGACCTCCAGTTTGGATCAGGAGGAACCAGAGCCTCCACTGATGAAAGAGGAACAGCGGGAACTCTGCATCAGTCAGCCTGAGGGACAGTTAATTCTGAAGCAGGAATATGTGACCTTCATGGTGACTTCTCCTTCTGCGGAAACAGACAGCTATGAACCAGAACCAAGCAACAACCAACTCTCGTGTTTGATGTCTCCTGAAGCTGAGAATCGAGATCGGGATGGACGCAGGGATGAAAACTCAGAATCAAGCAGCAACAATAAACTGAAACAGAATAAAAGATGCAAACAAACGAGAGATCGCAGAAACAACGTAGGCAGTCACAGAGGTGAGAGGCCGCTTTCATGTAAAACCTGTGGTAAACGTTTTTATTTCTATAGCGATTTAAATGGACACATGAGAAGTCACACAGGCGAAAAGCCATATTCATGTGAAACTTGTGGGAAACGTTTCTCTCAGTGTAAAAACTTGACTAGACACAAGAAAACTCACACGGGTGAAAGGCCGTATTCGTGTGAGACATGTGGTAAAGGTTTCTCTCGAGGTTGTCACTTAACTAGACACATGGGAACTCACACGGGAGAAAAGTCTGCTCTGTGTTTGTAGACGATGATTGAGTCTGGAGTTTTTATCATCAATAAACTGTCCCAGAACATCTCTGCTGCTCTCCAGTCTGTGTGGTGACTGGGGAAACTGACAAGCACATACCCGTACACTCACACCCTAAACAGTGCTTAATTCATCCTTGAATGAGTCATGGGTCGTGTCGAGTGGGTCACAAATATTCAAATGTTGCTTTTAGACCACTTTAAATAATTACAGGAAAGTACAGAAGTCCATTCCTGCCACTCTGATTAAAATAATTTGTATCATTATTAGATCTTAACTCATTAACTGCCATTGACCACAAGTCGTCATTTTAAATTAAACCGTTTTTTGTTTTGTTTTTAACTGTGTGGGCATCGGATCGAGTCCCCGCTCCGTGAGAAGAAACATCCCAGCTCTAAAGCTGATCTTCATCCACATACGTCAGCACGTCACGTGATCAGGAAGCAGAATATCTATGTTAGGAGATCGTTTTGGGCCGCTGCTGTAAAAAAAAGACAAATTATGTAACACACGGAATGATAACGTTTATTCCGGTGCCATAAGGGTTTATTTTCTTCTGTAACACAGAACAGAGCTTTCAGTGAGCAGCAGTTCGTGCATCTCCTGGCTGAGCTTCTCACCGGTAGCCTACTTCTTCTGCTACAAGTTCCTTGAACTAAAGCTAAACTGACAATATACATTTATACATACAACAGTTTGCAAAACACATACAAAGCTAGCAATGAGAAACGCTTCTGCCGATCACAATTCGACGATGGGTTATGAGAAAGGATAACGTTTGAAACGCGCTGATTCTTCCTGATGTAAGAGGTGAGTCAACTCTTTGTTTTGGTAGTTTTGGCGTTGACATCATCCTAGCACGCAACGTTCTGTGACTCTTAAACACTGGCAGAGAAGGGCTTTTCTGATCAGGAAACGGCTGGCAGTGAACGAGTTAACGATCCTATAATTATGATAGTATCTCATAATTGCCTTAGCTATGCTATAATTGACAGTATTATATTGAAATATTCTCAATGATGGGATATCTCATGACTATGACTTAGCTATCCAATAATTATTAGATACTATTAGCCATCTTATTTGGAATAGCCGAGTCATAATTATGAGACGCCATTTCTTAATGACTCATAATCGTGACTGTTAACTCATGATCTCTTAATTCAGCACCTCATGATTATGAGGTGTTTTATCGGAGTGGCGGGAACAGGCTTCCATAATATGAGCTTCCACTGTCAAGCATGAAAAAATAACGTAAATGTTTTCATACTAAAACTGCTGCTTTCAAAACTTGAACACTGGAAAGTCTAAACATCTGTCCAGTGTTATTTGAAGCTCTAAACACGTCATTCAGCACCAAACCAACCAAAATTAACCAAAAAAGTACTTTTCTTTTTCTTTCAGAAATACAGATGAAAGAAGAAAAACAACAAAACATTTGTTAAGTTAATTTAATGACAGTTTTGTACAAAAACTTTACGAATAAAGTCTGGATTAATTTGACCCTTCCGAGTGACGAGGCACAAAATTAACAACTTTCGAATTTCGTCACTAAAGTCATAAGAAACCTGAGTTAAGGTGTTTTACAAATGAGGGTGGAAAATGTTAGGAAAATCCTGTTTACCTTTGCAACAAAAATAACACAGTCCATTTGATCAGGTGGTATAAACAAGTGTATCGGTTATTCTTGTGTTGCCTTACAAGAAAATGACCAGATGTGTCAGCAAGCTGCCTGCATGGGTGGAAGGTAGAGCGGCTGCTAGGAGGGTGCATCTTCACTACGGATAGCCTTGTACTTGGACATTTCCTCCGGGAAAACCTTACTAAGCTCGGAAATTAAGAGACTCTTGAATTTCTGCAGAGCAAAAGAAATACAACAGTATTTACAGTAAATACAACTGGAATTGTGTTTCTGATGATGGATAAATAAACTGGTAAGGTTAATAATCTACTAGAAAACATTTCACATTAAAGCAATTAGCATGGTGCTTTTTATCCTTTCAGATACTTTGAGCAGCTGATCTAGACTAATCCCTTACCGTCATGGTGTCTATCTTTCCTTTGACCTGCTCGTTTCTCGCCAGCGCTCTCTCCAGACACTCCTTGGTGTACAGCTGAGGGTTTCTGCCTTGGTCAATGTACCTTCAACCACAATGCTTCAATGTCAGATGATATGTGATGGACCCACGTATTGTTTTTATGTTTACATCTGGACTACAAGTAAACATAAGGATTTACTACACACGGCATGGCGTTGTTTATTCACAAAATATATACATTAAGAAGGTAAAGTGATGAAACTGAGTTACAACACCGGACTCACTCGAAGACCTCCAGAGGGACATTGATCTCATGAAGCTGCTGTCGGCACTTCTCGATGTCTTGTAGCCCAGAAATCATGAAATTTCTAGAAAATCAAAAGTCAAACACCGCATATTAGCGTCACGTGTATTAGCGGAACTCTGAATTAAAAAGAGGAAAAACAGAACTCACAGCTTCTGATTCAGAACCGCCTGGCTGCTCGGCTGGAAGTCGCTAACAATGATTCCTAATTGTCGAATATTCTCCTCGAATTTCTCCAGATGCTCCTCGAGATTATCAAATTTTTCAGCCATGTTTACTATTTTATCGAAATAAATGAACCTCAGCGTTTTAAAAACACCCGTTACCAAACAGTCGCCATTTATTGTTAGCAGACGACAGCTAAAATAATCAGCTGCAGTTTACGGACACTTACCCGGAAGTGTTACCAGGGTTGCAACGGAAGTCGTCGTAATGTCGCACATAGTGGCCGGTTGCCATCTTGGATGGGTCTCAAGTCGCCCCCGGTGCCTTTATTTTAACAGAGGAAGGTTACGTTTACTGAACACATTAATTAAAAAACACATGAGATAATTATATATATATATATATATATATATATATGAACCTTTGTTAATTTCCACTGTGTCACATTCTAAACTCAAAATAGTTTTAATCATAATTGCGCCGAGGTTGAGCCCTGGTGACTCAGGGTCTTTTTCATCCCTTTCATGCATCACTACCTGCTATTCAAAAACTACTTTCTTCAGGGCTGATGGACAATTTGCATCTATTCACTACATTTGTTTCTAGAGTGTCACTCCTATCGACATATATGGTCACTCCATACCCCTCCGCTCATAGTGCAGCATAAGGAGTGACATGATCCTTATTATTAGAATAATGAACTTATAATATATACATTAGTGAGGTAAGTGTTCCACTACGTTATCCTCCAAAATTAATTTTATGAAGAGAATGTTTTTATCTCAAACAAAGTTCAAATAGAATTGTTGATGTTAATGATAACCAATGCATGAATGGTTTAAAAAGCACATTTCACTTGGTTTTGATGATATATTTGGTGGGTTTTTTAAGCCCCATGGTGGTGTTCATCTTGAAAGACGATGTAATAGCCTACATCTGGGATTTTATTTTTCCTTAAAAGTCATTCTTAACCACACAGGTGCAGATTTTACTGTCAACATAAAAAAGAAACTAAAACCAAAATGAACATGGTGAAGTTACTACAAGCTCGGGCATGTCTTGTCAGCCTCACTGTTTCAAAGAAAGACGGGTGGGGGAACAAACTCAAACGCATTAAACAGGACATGAATACTTGCCCTTCAAAATAAAACACAAGATTAAGGTCTCAAAACCACAGGTAGTTAGTCAACCATAGATAAAGGTTTGTCTTAAAGGTGCCATAGGAGATGGTTTTCTGAAGCTTAATTTTTTGCCATATTGCTTGAAATGTTATACAAATAGCAATGAATAAATTAAATGTTTAAAATAATAACAATAATAATAATAATAATAATAATTTTAGTCTTGAAACGTACAGTCCTAGAAAAAAGCTTATCCATTCATTGTGAACATCCTGTTCTTATAATTGGATCATAACCCATCCATCAAACTGCCCTCTGACTGTCCTTCCCCCCTTTGTACATATGGGGCACGAATCAGTGTTCTCAGCTCGGAGCAGCTGAACAAGAAACAACGTCAGAGCTAAGCAGCCTCATGTCACGGAGAGAAGGTGACATTCGGTTTGTGTTTGCAAATTTAATTTAAAGCAACAATAAAGATAGTGGTTCTTGAGCGAGAAACGTGAGCAACTTAACATTGGACAGCACTCTGCTGACCTGAAGCAGTTTTGTTGATGTGGGTAGCAGCACTAGTGGGAGCACTCCTCATGCTTAATGTGCAGCTAGCTAATATAGGCTAGCAGTTAGCTTTTTCAGTCAATAAAAGCACAAGAAGAAGACTTTTATTTATTTATTTATTTTTGCATCATAGCAGAGGGCAAGGCACATTTAGGGCTCACCCTTGGTGTGTCAGCTTAAGGGAGCTTCGCTCCGCACCATGGTCGATGTCAGTTGCTCGCTTGGGGTTACTAAAGCAGCAGCCAGATTAGGTTCTCCCCACTCTTTGGTCCACGCCAGTGAAGGAAAACAGCCCCTTACACTTACCAGGCGACTACAGGAAAAAATGGCACTGCCCCTGCCCATCACCATGTAAGGGGAGCCAGCCTCCCCTTAGCTCCCCCGTAATTCAAACCTTGGTTTCTGGAAGTTTTGACCTCTTGAATTTGGGGGTTTCCCCAGATTGTTGGTGGTGCTAGCTGCTGTGATTTTTATGTTAAGAATAAAACAAGAAAATTAACAATTGCTTAATTTGTCACCATAAAAATGGCAAACTAGCATAGTAAATCGTTATATGGTATTTTATGTTGGGAATTATTGCAGAAAAGGTGCCACCAACGGTTTGAAATGGTGAAACTAAATTCTGTTGCATGTTCCTGTATTCTGGAGGCTTGGATTGGGGGTGCAGAAGAAAGGGGATACATGATAATGATAAATGAGCCGCATTTGTATAGCGCCTCTCAGAGTAAGGACTCCAAAGCGCTTTACACTACAGTGTATCATTCATCCATTCACACACACAGTCACACACTGATGGTGATGAGCTACGATGTAGCCACAGCTGCCCTGGGGCACGCTGACAGAGGCAAGGCTGCCGAGCACAGCCGCCACCGGTCCCTCCGACCGCCACCGGTCCCTCCGACCACCACCAGCAGGCAAGGCGGGTTAAGTGTCTTGCCCAAGGACACAACAGCAGAATTCTCTGTCCGGAGACGGGATTGAACCTGCAACCTTCCAATTACTGGACAATCCGCTGTATCTTTATTCCTATTTTCAGATTTTATGGCCAGTAAATAATCTTCTGATCCACATTTAAAGGAAAACAAAGGAAAAACCAACTCAACGTTAATAATGTGTAACGAGGCAACACTGAGCGCGTGGTCTGCTTTGACGTGCTTTTATTTTGAAGAGGGGGCAGTCAGTTGAGGAGGAGGAGCAGGAGAGGGATTACAGGGATTCGTCTTCGGCTGCTTTAAAGCAGGAGCTGCCGCAGCTGCAGACGCACATCAAAGGTCCTCCTCCACATTTTTCACCACCTCCGCTTCCTCCTCCTCCTCCTCACTGCAGCTCTCACCGACGGTAGGTCCAATGGATGGTGGTGGAGCCCGTTGATCGTGTTACGCAGCAGCGGGATCGGTGTCCGGGCGACATAACAGGACACAGCGCGCGCGTACTCGGAATTTCACCAGTCCACGGTAGGAGAGCAGACTTCCACCGGGCAGGTAGAACAGGTATCAGACAGGGTAGACCTTCCGGATAGTTTAATGTAAAATTGTTCTCACGCATCACTCATGGGGTTTTAAGTTGTTTCGTTTAGGCGTAAATGAATGTCACGTTCCATCTCTGGCCCGTGTTCCCGCTTTATTTGTGTCAGTTTTAGCCCAGTGTCCTTTATGTAGCCTTTACATCATCTCCCTTTGATTTTCCTCGTGAATCCTGATAGTCTACACCCTTTTACTCTGCTGTCGCATATATCTCCTAATTTGTTCTGCGTAAAAACGCATCGTCCTATCATGGAACAGTCGCAGTCTTGTCCACTTGAGAAAATAACGAACAAAAATAAAAAAAAGCCGGAATCGTTCTTCTCTTTGGCAAAAAATGTTATGTTAGGCGTTGCTTGGTGGTGAATGTTATTCATGTGTGCTGTTGTTGCTTTTGCTTCCAGAGGAACCGCGCAGAGACGATGCGCTGAGGAGAAAATCGGCCCAGGCTCCCCCGCTTCTTTAACGCGAGGCTGCAGCGAACGGAGGGGGTGGATTGCGGTATAACGAGGGTTTCTATCAGCATCCGTAAAGGTCGCGTCTGTGAGGGGAAAGAACGGGAGAGTCTCGCCCCTGAGCGGGGTGATCAGCGGAGACGTGTACGTCTAGATAAATTATGGCCACCCTACTGCGGAAAATCGGTCTGATCCGTCTGCACGACCGAGACACAGAGGACCCAAAGCATCATCAGGGCTCGCTAAAGGGGACCAAAGGGAACCAGAAGAACAACGCCAACAAACACTGTCAGACCGCCAACGAAACCAACCTCCTGAGTACCCCGGAGATCAAGGCGAGGAAGCTGGACCAGCACGGCAAGGACAAGCAGGGCAAGGATGCGAAGGAGAAGCAGCAGACGGGAGGAGGCGGGAGTAAAGCTACCAGTGCCTCCTCCGTGACGCCGCTGGCGCCGCACCGGCAGCACTGCACCCAGGTGCGGACGCGGAGGCTGATGAAGGAGCTGCAGGAGATCCGGAGGTTAGGGGACAACTTCATCACGGTGGAGCTGGTGGAGGACAACCTGTATGACTGGAACGTCAAGCTGCACCAGGTAGACAAGGACTCGGCGCTGTGGCAGGACATGAAGGAGACCAGCACCGAGTTCATTCTGCTCAACGTCACCTTCCCAGATAACTTCCCCTTCTCACCGCCGTTCATGCGGGTTCTGACGCCCCGGTTGGAGAACGGCTACGTGCTGGACGGCGGGGCCATATGCATGGAGCTGTTGACCCCCCGCGGATGGTCCAGCGCCTACACGGTGGAGGCAGTCATGAGGCAGTTTGCTGCCAGCCTCGTAAAAGGACAGGTGAGGGGAGGAGGGGGGTTGTCTTTGGACCATCATACCTGACCCATGCATAAAACCATTTATAAACATGTAACATTAAAGCCTAACCTGGATTTATGGTTCCCTAAACTAAAGTTGGCCCATGTTAGAGTGAAAATAGGAAATGTAGAAGGTTATTATTATTATTTTATTGATCTAAACAAATAAGCATCAATATTTTGTGGAATTTAGCTAAATTTTTCTGAAAATATTTTGGGTTGAACTCGTAAAAACACCTTAAATAGTTTGTAGTTTTAATTTTTTACAGGAAACTTAAAATACTTCATCAAACTGACGTTTCTCCTGCCCGCTTGATGACGGTCACGTGTGTTTTAGGCTCCATCATGCCTTCAGATTTGAGCAAACTGTAAACTTGACTTTACGGCAGCCATTTCACGCAGCACAGCCCTTTGTATCCTCGCTGTGTTGTGCTCGTCTTCTCTCACCTCCATAAATCAGCAACATCTGATAACAAAGGCTTGCTGCCATGACAAAGACTAGTCCTGTTCCTCCTCAGTATCCATAGTTCCTTTGGACTATTCTGAAGGAGAAATAAAGCAACACGTGAGGATGGCTGGAAAGACAGATGGAGACAACCAGACAGCAGGTAGCCTACAGTTGTCCTGAGTGATTTAGGCTGTCTGGATTATGTAATCTTGTCAAATCTGTTCTGCACATCCTCAGATGCGGTTCCAGGGAAAATGGCTGCAGGTTTGCATGCATTCATGGCAGAGCTTTCCTGTTGTCCACCCAGAGGGCAATCACAGCTTTAAAAGCCCATTTTCTCCACCATATGCCCGTCATTCCTCTCTCTCCCCCTCTCACTCCCTGCTCGACTCTTTGTCTCTGACATCAGCTGTATGGTGGCGCTGTGCTGTCAGACCTTACGTAAGCTGTCACTGGGTCCCCCTCAACCTTCAGTGATATAACTGAATATTATCCCAGAGTCAGCTGTGGTCACCAGGCACGTGTCATGAAGAGAGGTCGTGTTGAAACATGTCCTCACTTTTTAGAAAAAGAGAGAGAGAAGTGTGTGTGTGTGTGTGTGTGTGTGTGTGTGTGTGTTTGTGTGTGTTTAGCCTTGATTTGCTGCACAGGGGAGATGAGCAAGCAGCTCTGCAGTCTTCCCTAATTATGGTGCAGCATCTTCCTTGTTTGCTAATGGAATACATATTGATTAATTATTCCTCAGTTGTCCATTTCTGTCTCATTATTTTTGGATCCACGTCAGCGCTCGTGGTGTCCTGATTTTCCTGGGAGATCTATTTGCCTGCTGTGCATCACAGGCCTATATATAAATATACCTAGACACACAGAATATATTTATTTGTCCTTTGCTGCTGGTTCCTTGTGACAATGGCGATGTACCCTGCTTAGTAGCTCCCTGCCTATTTTTAGTGTGCGAGGATACATGTGGTGACATGGTGCTAAGCTGAGAGTCAACACTGCCTTCACATGCAGATGAGAGGAAGTCCATATCTGGTGATATTTTTAGTTTTTCATAGAGCAGAGGGCACCAAACATCCGCTTTAAGGATTAAAATTAGACAGAAATGCAATAATTTACTTTCTGTCTCCATGAACCATCTCCAGCAGGTAGACAGTAGAGGCAAACTCACCAGGTGTCTTTGTAATCAAATCCAGTTTAGTCATTTGATCAGTGCAGATGTGTGTCTGTGCAGTTGTGTTTAACTATGCACCACCAGTGTATGGAGCTGCAGGATAGTCTAATTAATGCTGATTAGACCTCTCTGTAATTTTACTCTGGTCTCTTTCTGACCAGCTAAGGTCATTAAAAATAGGTAAATAATAATAATAAAAATAAAAGTAAAGTTTATTTATGTAACACATTCAACAAAGAAAATCACACAAAACAAAATTAAAACTGTATGATACACTGAGGGCAGTTTTAAGGGGCCATAGCATGGAAAATCCACTTTTTGGAGCTTTTTACCAGGTGATATTGTTATTTACTCATTAAAAAAAACACAAATGCATTTTTGGCTGCATTCATGCAATTTCCTGTTAGAACTGAAAATTTTGAGTTTGACTTTGAAAATCCTGTAAAGCATCAGTGGAAACCAGTCTCGTCATCAGGCCCTTCTCCTCTCCTGGAACCTGGTCTGGTCTGAAACCTGTCTTCTCTAGTCGGCACAGGGTTGATACGGCCTAAAATCAGTATCACGATATATTGAGGGTTTCACCTCGATAACGATAAATGGACGATAACTACAGGTATGCGCAGAAACAAAAGTTGTCCACTAGATGGGGCTGTCACACGTATTACGTTCAGTCACATTTTTACGTGACTCGAGGTGGTACAGCTTCTTAAAGGGACATGAACGCTGCCAACCTGCACACATCTTATCATTTTTTTATTGTCAAATTTATGGACGTGGGAAAAATGATCTCGATAAGACTCAGAAATTTTGATAATGATAAATATTCGATTTATCGCCCAGCCCTAGTATGTAGCTTAGGTGACTGCTTTTATGTTGTAGACTTGGGTGGTTGTAGTGCTGGGCTGGTACTCAGTTATGGGTAGGTTTGCATTCCGGTCTGAGCTCTTTATTTCTTCTCTTTTTTAACTACACTTACCAGTAATGTATTTTCAATCCATTATTGATTAACTGTTTAAAAAGTAAGGACTGTTATTACCGTAATTTCTGGACTATAGAGCGCACCTCAATATAAGCCGCACCAACAAAAAAAGGTTTTCTACACACACACACCGCACTCAAACACAAGCCGCGGCGCAGCAGCCACATGCAGGACTCCGGCGCACAGCGCATGTACGGCCATAACATAAGATCATTAGACAGAAAGACGCTACACGGAGGTTTTTCGTTGTTGTTTTAATTCAACAAAACACATTATTAACACGGGTGAACGTGCCTGCAAGTTTAGAAAAGAAAACAGCACTGATAGCATTCATATTTCTGGATGGTTATAAAATAAAAACAGAACTGACACGTTATTACCAGTAATTTGCATGTTTAGAAACAAAACATGCCTGGTTAGTAAATAAAACACACTTGCCTACCAGAAGAAGTCATTTGCTCTCATCTTCCTCCTGCGCACTAAAGCCATTAAAGTCCTTCTTCAGTGTCGGAGTTGAACAGCCTCAGAAGAGCTTCGTCACATACCTTTTCTGTGGCGATGTCAGTGTCGCTGTCCATGTTGCTGTCATCATCCCCGGGTGAAGCTGGCTTGAATGAGTTCTTCCCGCTGCCGTCTCCAGCGCCGAACCATGGATTCATTCATGCCAAGCTTACGTGCGGCAGCACTGTTTCCCTCCTTCACTGCCAGGTCGATGGCCTTCAGCTTAAATGCGACATCATATGAACTCATACGTGTAGTTACCATGACGAGGGGGTATGGATTTGAAAAAAATCCTTCGTGGTGCCGGCTGCTTGCATGTGCTAAATTAAAATGAGCACTTTCTTCCATTTCCACTTTTGAATTCCACCTGTTTCACTTTCTGCTACAGCGCCCCCTGCAGGTGAAGGAAAATCTTCAGTAAAGCCGCACCTCATTATAAGCCACATGGTTCAAAGCGTGGGAAAAAAGTTGTGGCTTATAGTCCGGAAAATACGGTATTTTTTTTACTTTCTTTGTTTATATACCAAGTGTGAGTCCATGTGTGGTGAGCAGACTACACAGACTAAAATGCTGCAGTAAAATGGCGTCCTTAACCACTTGACTACCATAGCCAGTGCAGCAACTGACTCGCCTAAGACGCTGTTGTCGGCACGTTTTGTCAGAGCGGGCGTGGGCGGAGTTTCACTGAAACACAGCAATTTTTTTCTGGGTATGAATTCAGGTAGGGATGTCACCATCGATATCGGACATCAGAAATAATTCGATATCGGCCCAAAAACATTGTATCAGATTATATTAGACAACGTCAAAAATCTCTGATATAAGCAGTCCATAAAGATTCACATTTTTGCAACCAATAGTTAAGAAAAAATAGTCATTTTTTTCATACTTGCTGCTATTGGCTCATGTTCTCCAATTGAGTAATATCACTTGATCAAGCCTTTCATACATTCCACACCACGAAACAGGTAAAAGTATGTACAGGGTTTCCCCCAGAAAATGAGTTAAGTCTGGCGGCTTCGGCCGTCGAGGGGTGGGGGTGGGGTGATTATCTGACTTTAAAGTTATGACTTGTTGTACCTTTAAATGAGGATATTCTGTGAGGCTGGACTGAGATGCAGGAAGATGAGGGTGTGGCACCTTCAGGTTTAAAGGGATACTAAGCAGTTTTGGCTTTATCGCCCCCTAGTGTCTGCTAGTGAAACCAAAAGTGAACCTCTTCACCTTGCTGTGTGTTCGTCTAACATCTTGATCTAACTGCTGAAATGTGTACAGTGCCTGTCTGGTGACATTGAAGGAAAATAGTAACTCGTGGCCATGAGATTTTAATACGTGGCCACGACATACTTAATGTATCTCATGGCCACGTATTAAAATCTCAGAACGCATTAATAAGTCGTGGCAACGAGTTAAAAACTCGTTCCCATGCATTAATATCTCGTGGCCATAAGTTATTTTTTTCCCTCAATGTCACCAGATGGGCATGATAGAAATGTCTCTTCAGCCTTCATTAGTGTCTACAGGAGTGATGCATCACTAAATTATACAAATCAGCTGTGTTCATGATCTAAAACATGCAGGAAACGTGCTGGAAGCAGACTGCAGCACCAGCTATGTCAGCTCCACTTTACTAAGTCCAACAGGGACTGATCTTCACTTTACTAAGTCCAACAGGGACTGATCTGGCACTCTGAAGTTGCAAGAGTGATATTCTAGCCACAAAGAATGGTGGGGATCTGAGGGACTTTTCATTGACCCTGTAAAGAGTCTTTTTAGCACACACTGGCTCAAGAAAATTATTTTAAAAAATGAAAAAGTTGCATAGTTTGCCTTTGAGCAGGAGGTTCCTAAATTCAGTGTGGCAAATTGAAGCATCTTCAC